AGGGGAAGAAACATGTTTAATGCGCCTCGCTCAAGCTTCTGGTTCACCTGAGGAAAGAAGATTTGGGACTTAGAAAGCAGTCCTTCCTACCAAACTGCACAGCATGATACAAAAACTGGCACAACTAGTTGCAGTAGGGGTGTAGTCTGTGATCTCTCATTGGAATTGCTCAGAGCTTGACATGGGAAAAGTTTTAAATTGTTTTAAAAAATACAACTTTATGACATTTACTTCCCCCTCTTTCTTAAAGAGCATGGGGTGGGGGGAGGTGGAACATATGCATATGTTTGTTTCCTCATCCTTTGGGCATTTACAGGACACCTGTCTCAGGAACGACAGGAAAGCAGAGAGTATCAGCCACTTAAGAATGCAGACGAATGCGTGCTGAGAACAACCTCCTCCATGTTCTCAGTTCCTCCCCGCAGAATCATCTGGGGGATTCACAAACTTGTTCTTGAATCATTATTGTTGATTAGCTGCAGGATCTTGTTAGTCACCAGCAACTGGAGTTGTCTAAAGAACAGTGAGAGAGTCAGGTACAGAAAGAGGATGCGATTGTTAAATGTTGTTTGTGTGTTGAATGGCTACTTGTAGAGAGAAAGAAGGACGTGTTGCAAATACTTCTGGTTTTGGCAGAGAATGGATGACGCCGGTTGTCTTGTAGGTGTTGAATATTCCATTTTTTTTAAATTAAAACTATTCTTTTATTCATTTGTTTGGGTTGGCTGTCTCCGACTTTCAACTTCATCTATCATTTAATTAGCTTTATAAGATAAATGAGTTCATAGTATGGAAATACAAGAAAAGAAAATCTGTCAGTTCTATTTTAAAATCTTACTTGTTCTTTGTAGGTCAGTTTTAAACGCCTTTCCTCATTTATATCTTTGATAGTTGGGAAGTGTATGTTTTTGCATTGAAAGATAACTTGACCATCTTGCAAAGTTTCCCTTGTTAACCGGAAGGTTTCTTTGCTGAAAATTTCCTGATGTTTTCAAGAAACTGGAAGAACAGCACTACAGACTTAAGTGATATATAAACAAAGTATAAGTGCTAAAAAAATTTGGAGCTTCAACAGACACTTATCTGTGCTGCTACTAAAAGATGTTTTATCTATTTGTATCTGAGAATAAAAACTCCTCGCCCAGGACTTGAAGATAGTCCAAAATGTAATTGTTAGCTATAGGCTGTCTTTTCTCATGAAATAAATTAATATTACTGCTATCCTGCATATCCTGTAATGTATCTGGTAATCCTCATGTTGTCTTCTTGACAAACATAGTTTAGTTTTTAATGTGCTCCGAAGCTGCAGTGACAGCCGCCTTTTCTTCTTGTCCTCTCCCCTCTCTCTGAAATACATCTTTGTGCATTAGAATACTAAGGAGAGGCCTTTATACAAGAAATGTTTAGCTTTATGTGAGACCTATTTACTCAGTATTTAAAGTCAGTTCACTCAGTAAAAAAAAACACAGAACCCTTCTTTTTTTAAGGAAATACACTAGTATACGGTAAGTCTAAAGCCACTCTTAAACTAGTACAGCTGAAGAATGAGGGTTTATTTTTATTATAAGCATTCCCATCAAATGCTTATGTACAGCCCGTTAAATCTGCAGAACTGTTAATAACAGCATTGCATTACAGGTTTGGGGATTTTTATATCCTTTAGTGCTTAAAAAAGTGAAAGCATGTGCATCCTATATCATTGTAAATAGGAATAATATGAAAATGGATTATATGAACATTGCAATTAAATTGTCATTACATGGGAAGAAAGCTAGACCTACAGAAAGCCAAGTATGAGTCACCAATAAACTTCTAAATGTACCTTCCAAGAAGACTACCTATGAGGAAGAGGGAAATGTCACAACAATGAAGGATGCTACATGTTTGTTCCCTAACAAGTTTGTAGATCCACAGTTTCAGGACCAACGGTGTGCAAGGAAAGCAGATCATTGCTTACAATAAAGTAATCTTTAGTTGACTGTAACCCTTTCAGACAAGATGAACAAACACCTCTTTCCTTTAAAAATAATTATTCTGCAGGGTAGCTGCCTTGAGTTGTGGCCTTTGTTTGTTAAGGACCAGCTTTTTCTGTCTGAAGAAAGTGCCTGCATGTTTATATAAGTGATGTAGTGACTTTCTCAGACAACTGACTTTAGTTATCTACCTGATATGTAGGGAATTGAGTGTACAGTACTAACTACAAATTCTACGTGACTGAAAATAAGATATGTTACAGTCGTCATTTTTCTCTTCTAAAAAGCTGTTCCGAGCTTTCCAGAGACAGAGCCTGTGTATATAAAATACCAGAGCAATGGAAAGTGTAAGTAGACGTAACAGTCAAAAGTATCATGAGGGGTTTTACAGGTTGAATACAGATACAACAAACCTCCTGGGTTCTCTGTTGTACATGTGGGGGAAGAGGTGCTTCTTCTAGGTGTGCCAACACTAACCATCGCTTGTGATGTAAGAATACCTTAACCAGATTATACAGCAGGAAGCAGCCACATCAGGAATTACCGCACTGCATCATCTGCTCAACACAGTGCAATGGCAGGTGCTGACTTTTGCTACCAACAGCCAACACAGCCAGACAGTTTAAGTTTTAGATGCTTGGGTTGTGCTATCCTACAGTCTTACGCAGATTGCAGGTATTACCCTGTAGCTATACCTGTAGTAACAACAGTGGCAGGGGGAAGAGGTCTGTACTTTGGTTTCTTTTTGACCTTAGCATGACAGACAGCTAAACGGGAAACAACTCATAAGCGGTACAAAACCTTCTTCCTTTGTGCTTAGTTTCCAGAAATGAATGCTATGATAATGAGACGATTCAGTAAGCCAGGAGACGTTGAACGTGCTCGGAAATACGTGTTGCAGGTAGGACTGATACCAAATATTTCATTCCTGAAGTGCTGTCCCTGCTTAAGTCAGTCTGAAATTCATTGCCTCTGAAGTAAAATAGCAGGGCGGCATTTTCAAGTACATGTGAAGTATCATGCTCTGTACAATACCAAGTTAGGACACTTCAGCTGTCTTACTGGCACAGTGTTTCAGCAGAAATGCTGGGTACTGAAGAGCTCCCCCCCCCCTTTTTTTTTCTTTCCAGTAGCATAAAATCCACATAATAAAAGTAAAAAGCTCATGCTTGAACTCAGTTCCTTCAGCTGAAGAGTAGCTGTATCCAACAACTGGTGGAAGCGGCACATAATTACCAGTCTTGTAACTGCAGTGCGCGTTCCATATCAGTTTTAATCGACTCTGGTCTGAAAAGACTGAATAACTCTATGCAAAATTAATACTCCTTTTTTTCAGGATAGCACGCTCTTTTTGTACATCTTTATTTAGGGCAGGAGGGGAGGGGGTTAAACCATTAGTTTTTAATCCTACCGAATAGTATGTTATTAATACCAGTGTTGTTTTGTAAGTATAGTTAAGTTTAGCATGGATGAGTTTTAGTAGTTTGACACTTTGAGGAAGAGATGTAGGATTCAATGAATACAGAATGAATCCTCTTCAGAACATAATTAAGTGTTCAGGGTACTTACTGACCTTAAAACTTCCCCGCTGTAACTGGAAGAGGCAAAAGGCAGGAGGGAGGCTGACCAGTTATCCATTACCTTTAACTGTCTTCTTACATAAGAGTGATGGCGTGCAGCAGACAACCTACCTCGCCCAGCGCTACTGCCATGAAGCTACGCGAGAGATCAGTAAACTACGGCCATCCCCTGAAAGAGAAGCCCTCATTCAGCTGACGGAAATGGTACTCATGCGAGACAAGTGAGAGAACTCCTTCCGCTCGTTCTGGCAGCTACTTACCAGACTGTGCCTAAATTTACTTCAAAAGTTATCTGCTTCCAACACAGGCTACCAAAAATTATTTTTTTAAAAAACTTTTTTTTTTTGAAGTTCTACTTTTTTTTTAAATACAAAAGTTTAAAGTGTTTTATTGTGGGAAGCCATACAATTCAGAGCAAATCAACCTGTGCTGTACAATTGTTTTAGTGGGGCCTATTAATTGTGGGGGGTGGGGAAGATGTTTACATGTTGATGCACAAAGGCCACAATGAGAATAAATATAAATCAGTGTATGAGAACTCCAGTTGTGCCAAATTTCAATGGTTCACACTAATAAACAGAGCATGCTATCTGGTATTACTATCTGGTAAACTCCTGTGAAGAGAGATGGTTTGAATGCTTTCCTGGTTGTTAAACTACAGAAGTGCCTGGAATTGTATATATGTAGATTTTAATTGGTTATATACGTCAACGAGAAGTTTTCCATTTGTAATGAAATACAGGTATGCTATTGGTTGCTACTTGATAGCAGTTAACAAGATGCAGAATTTGAGACTGCTACAGTTATGAATATGAAAGGCTTAGTATTTCTAACTCACACTAAAAATGAATTGATTCAACTCCAGCTTCAACTCCATCGCCTTACACCACTTATTTATAGAGTATATTCAATACCCTCCTAGAAGTCTGCTCTGAAGTCCAAGACACATTCCTCTTACAGTAATTATCCAGTACTACCACATTCCTTTTCAGGTTATTTAAGCCACAGAGTTTGTAGAACAGGGAAGTCCGTCATCTCTAACTATCTCTGCCTGGGATCCCTTAACACAATGGCTGAGTTCCTGTTGTGTGCGTTCCCCCTTTGTCATATCTTGAGGACAGCCTGCCGTCTCTGCTCAGCTGGGCACACCACCGAGCCAGATACTGAGAAATGTCAGTTACAGATGGTGTCCAACTGACTGCATCTCGAGAACTAGATTCAATCGAGAACCCTGGCTAAGATTAATTTTGGAAGAAAAGAACTTTTAAGAGTATGTATAAATGTGTAATTCAGGTTTCATATCTAATTTATTTGCCCTCTGTCAGTGATAAAGTCACGTTACAAACATTTGCTTTTTTGTACATTGCCTGGGATAACACAGCCATGATTTTGCTACGTTAGCATTCTAAACTTTGCCAAGCCAACCAACAAAGTAATGGACAAGACCTTTGGTTCACTTATATATTTATGAATGGAAAAAAGTCATAATGTAAATTTACTCATTAAAAAAACTTGGGTACAAATTACACATACATAAGACCACCCATTTTTTGATTCACATGGACACCTTAGACCCAAACAACTCATTGTAATAGACTTTAGTGAGAATACTCCAGGTAAAGATTACAACAATTGGAAGCATCTTGGATTTTTAAAAAAGTATATTTCAATACATAAGTTTGTATGCATGCTTTAAACAAATATAGTTCAAGAATGAGCAAAGAGTCTAAACAAAAAGTAATATGACCAGCACTAACATTAAACTTCTCATCCAGATTTTAATATGTTAGTCTAACGTAGTGTTAGTTACCATGCTGTACTGAAAAATGTAATGGCACAATCTGATCATGGTTCATTAAATATTATACCCTACTTCCCCAGAATATTTAGGCTGGTCATAAAATTAACAATGCATAAGTAAATAAGTATAACCAGTTATAGACAGTTGCTTGTTTTACAAATTGCCATCAGGTAAGACACACTGTCTCCAGAGACTTAGAGAGATGGACATTCAATCATACCATTAAAACAGTATGGCCTGAAGAAATGGGCACATTTTTTTTGAAAGTATATTAAGACAATTCTGTTAGCTTTTAGTTACCCCTTGTAAATAATCATGGTATGACTGAATACAAGACCCAGCTTGGAAAAGCAAAGGATTTTAATCGGCATAGTGCATGATTGATTCAACATAATTCCCAGGAAACAAGCCAGTTACTCGATTGCAAACTCCTTCATACCAGCCATCATCGTTCTTCTTTATCACATAAATGATTGCACCCTCCATAAACGACAGCTCATCGTCTTTGTCCTTTGTATAGTCATATATAGCAACAACTGTGGATTGAACAGGAACACGTTTAGCGTTTTATTAATAGCACCAGTATTAAGTACAATTGAAGTACAATTATTTTTTAAAAGACTAGTTTGCTATCCTGGGATTTTCCATAATGAAGTCTCATGCCTTCCCTGTTGAACATTAAGTCCAGAAAATGAAATTTCACTTTTCTTGCAACATTAGCTACTGGTAAGAAGTGGGTGGTGACTATGCTGAATGCTCAGTTAAACTATTGATGGAGAGGTACAGTGACTGTGAGACAGTAAAGCAGAGCATATGGACACCTAAAAGCTAAGCTATGAAATAACTGAATCTATGAGTGTGGCAGTCATTTGTGGTCAGATTAGCTCAAAAGCATATAGAACCCTGTACAGGCATCTCTTGATTAGAGAAAGCCTAAAAATAAAAAAAATTTAAAAATCATTCTGTGGAAATGGACCAATAGAAAAATATTCTGTAGTATGGCCCTCGCAGCTATATAGCATGTACTTCAGTGTATGATTGTGTAAACATAGCTGCTTAAAGCCACTGTACACAAATGCATGGTCTTTGCTACAGAGCTTCTATGTCATACGATGTTTTGGAATTACTTTGCAAGGAGCTGCAATGAGTGCAAGTATAAAAATTACTGTAGGAAAAAGCAGAAGCGAATTTACAGCAATATCAGCTATTTTTCAGTATCTGCTTGGTGGATACATTACTCTCACCAACCTCCAGTTCACTGCATGCAATTAACAAAGCAGGGATCTCCCTAAGGAAAGTAAATGTTGCCAACAATAATACTGGAATTAAAAACTGCCACTATGAATACACAAACTTTGGATATCACAGCCTTACCCTTCAAAACTGTTAACAGGGATTTATGCAATTGATCAGTTCTATGAATTTCAAGAAGCTCCTAATTAACATATATATATTCTCAGAAATCTGACATCTTAGTGCCTAGCAAATAACAATGCTGTGTATCAGTTCTTTTCATCTCAAGGGTACATCCTGCACACAGTCCAGCTAGGAGTGAAGATGGAACACAGCAGTTCTGCCAAGACAGGTGCCACAGGTACCCTACCCCATTCCATACACACTTCAGTACCAGCCAGATCACAAGAAAACTTGCAACATCGCTGTTGACAAAATGGTCATTGTCAGAACACAGACAACTCTACAGGCAGGAAATTAGCATTTCGGCTATTCATGGGAAGAGACTTTTACTATATGAGTTCATACCTAAGCACAGTTTATAGTCTGCCGATCTAGAGTCGCTGATAAGTCTCCAAGGAAGCCTCACTACATTTTATATTTGAAAGTTTAATGATCCACTGTAGCTATCTAGTTCGGTGGGATAAATAAAGCTTGGACTTTCTGGCCTTTTTGCAACACTATTTCTAGATGATTGCCCAGCAATCCTGAGGTAGCTACACAGTCCAGCAGCCCAGCAAAGACAAAAGCCATCAGATTTACATCTGCTTCTCATAATGAAAGATTTTTTTTTTTATCCATTCTAGAATGCTTGAAGGTATTTCATAATCCTTCCAAAGAAGGATTATATTTTATCACATTAGGTGCCACAGACAAACTAAGGAAAGAATGGTTTGAGTTCTGACTTAGCGGGGACAATGATTGTTTTCATCAGACCCAAGCTAAGTCCTTCATTCCCTTCAGCTACCACTAATCCTCTGAAACTGCAGTAACATCCTCTGATACTGCAGTAACACACAATTGCAACACGTCTCTTACCTTTCTCTATATAGTTTTTAGGTGCCCAAGCAGGATCTCCATCTGCATAGGGATCACTGTACTGCACAACAGCAGCCTCCTCATCCTCATAATCCACGGGGGGTGGGGGTGGAGGAGGAGGAGAGTCATCAAACATCGGCATCTCATCGGGAGGCGGTGGGGGGGGAGGAGTCGGGCTATCAGCAACTAGAAACATTTGGAGATTATTTTTTTTCTTAAATCAAAACAGGGTGGAGATGCAAACAAACCTGAGGCTGTACACTGTAAATAAAAGGGGTGGGGGGACAACACACATAGCATGCACTATAATACCATGCACTGATTAGAAACAGAGGCTTTGTATTAACAGCTACAACATACAACTACATTTTTTTATTAGTGGTCAAATCTATGTATAAATGCTACTAGACTCAAAGCACATGCTGCAGGGCATAAGCTGAACACCAGCAGAGAGGAAAGCTTCCTGCTCCGACGTCCATGCGCTGAGGGCTAGCTGCAGCGGTTAGCTATGGGAGGACTCCGAGTGGCACCCTCTGAGCCAGGCAGCAACAGGCCTCTGGACTGGACCAGCGGCTTGATTATTTTTTAACAAATCCTCTGTCTATAACAATCACTTTAATTTCTAAACACTGCTTCCTTGGATTCCTTCTCTCTACCATTAAGGGGACAAAAAGGTCTGGTGTGGCTCATAAAAAAGGGAAGAGACTAACGTTTAAGATTTAACCAGGTAAGAGAAAGCCAAGCAATCCTTCTGCTGAAGAAAAGCTTTGTACAGATCCTTATCTTGCAGACTAGCTTGTGGTGTGTGCACACATCCAGGATTCCATTAATAAATGGAAGACTACAACAGGCAGCTGTTGCTCTTGGGGAAAAAGTGCTCAAGGAATTAAGTGTATAATCCAAAATGTCAAATCCCTGCCCTGAGATTCTCCAATCAGCACAATTACAAGTTGCTTTGGGAAAGGGAAAAAGAGAAAGGCATTATGGTACAAATCACTCTTAAAATCAGTTCATCAAATTAGTTACAGTAACAGTTCACAGCAGCTGGCAGCAAAGGAGAGAGAGAGAGAACGCTCAGATGCAATACATCAAGCCATTTATCCTATTCCTTGGGAACTGTTGTCCACTACATGTGGACCTAGGTGTAAGCACTATGAAGCCAGAAGTTACTGAAAGGAAGCTGCTGTCACTAAACTCAACTTTGTTATATAGCAATATGGATTTAATTACAGGAGATTTGGGAGTCTGCACATTGAAAACAGGCTAAAACCCACTGCTCTAGAAAGGGTTTGACTGGAAGGAGCCATCAGGCTGGGCACCTGTTCCAAAACCTGTAGCTCCGGCACTACACTGATTTTGAGAAGAAAGTCAAGCTCCAGGGCAAGGAATGAACACCACTGAGTGAAGCTTTAGTTACTGGTAGTTACAATGGCATTGGAGATTAGAAATAGGGTTTCTGTTTGCTTTAATGCTCTTTACTTTCACCTGGCCACTACTCCAGCAGTGACTAACCTTTGCTCTTCAGCCACGTGCCCCTGGCAAGGGGCTTGAGCATAGCTTCCACGTCCTAGCTGGGTCAGACCAGCTGTGCTGGTATAGGGGAAGCCAAATCTGCTGCAAGGGGCAGAAGGCAGCAGGAGCTGCTAGGGCAGAGGCTGCCCTGGCACCCAGCCTGCTCGCTACCCCTTGAAGAGCTAATCCTACTCTTCACCTGCAAGCCCAGCTCCTCTTCAGCTTGACCAGCTGAGCTGTATACTCCACAGCTCTCTCCATCAGTAAGACTGGCTGACACTATATTAGTGATTCCCCCCCCTATAGAGAAGCCCATTTATGTCAGTTGGAGACAGACTAACAAAGTCTTTGGCCAAGTGAACGCTACATCTTGCCCATGATACTGAATAGCACTCACAGGCAGGCTTCATTAATCCGCTACAGACACATGACAACAGTTTATGAATTGATTGGGTTTGTGCGGTAGTTTCAGCACATCTTTCACAAAATGTATTTCTCCCCTTAATTTCCATCTGCAGCCGGAAAAAAAAAAAACAACCCAGTATTGAAACAACCATCCTTTGAGATCTTGAGGAATCCTTACCTTAAGAAATGCAAAAAGTTGTATTTATTCAACAATGAAGTTGCTTATTTGAAAAGAAGAAAAGAGGGCAGGAAATGCAGGTGTGAAAGCACCAACACATACCCTAACTGAGATGCAGTGCAGAAACTGCATGCTTTATGGGAAACATTTACAACAATTCAAGTTCACATTTAAACAAGGGGAGAGAATGAAACAGAAAATCACACGAGTGCCAACCCCATCGAAGTATCCCCCCGCCTCTTGGATTTTAACCTAGACTTTTCCTGGTTCTGAACTTAAATATGCAGACTCTAGAACAGCATTACTTTTCTGAGGGGAGGGGAAAAGAAAGCATACAGAAAACCACACTAAATGAGAAAGGGTAAAAGGGCCAGTATTTATACAGCTCCAAACTGAGACATCTTCTCTTGTATGTATTCACATCCCTGTTCTTTAAATGGGTCCAGCAGACTCCTTTTGAAAGGACTGGGTGTGACAGTACAGCAATTTACATCCAATCAGTTGTCCCTGGGCACTGGGCACACTGGAAAACCCCTATGAAGGAGATACTCACAGTTTGGGCACAGGGCGCAGGAAAAATGAATAGGCATTGCATAGTTTCTAAGCCCTCTGTCCTTGTCCTCTGAAAGAAGTCCACAGAGCAGAGGATGTTGCTTTCCAAACCCACAGATCTTTACGATAACGAAAAGACAAGCCTACCTGCATGTCTCTCCCTAACTCCACTCCCCTGTAGACTTCTTGCAGAAAATGAGGCAGATAAAAGTCTAGCACACAATGATAAAACTCAACAACAGCCTCTACAGCCAGTTTTGCTGAGCGTATGCGCAGACTGCCACACGCACCCCTGCCTCCAAAATGAGACAGCAGCAGCTCAAAGCCATACTCGTTATATAACTTCCAACCCAAGGGACTGTTAAAAGAAAGAAAATAAAAAGAACAATTCCTAAGACCAGATTTCAAGCTTCAGCTATTTTTGCTGCAATCTCATTCACAAGTCAGCTTGCATTTTGTTGTTGCACACACAAATAAGTCTGTCCCTTTCACCTCCGCTCTCCCAAGGGCTGTGTTATCTCCAGGAGGACAATACTTGGAACAATTCAGAAGCAGGTGTCAACTTTCTCAAGTTTATCTGCAAGTGAAGACATTCTGTAACCTTCATCTTCAGTAAGTTCACCTCTACACTTTGAATTTTGGAAAGGTTCATCAACACAATTTTGTGGCATGCTATTCTACATCAACACGATTCTTACTATTTACCTAGCACAACATCAAAATACCTTCTTTTGGAATGAGAACCAGAGAGATGCCCCCTTTCTCCAGGGGAATGCTCAGAACATGACCACTGAAAAGCTCTCATGGGAAGCTGAACAACAGCACTACTCGGATCTGGGGGCCCCTAAATGTGTGCTGGAGCTACATAGCTACTATGTAGTAGTAATCCCTGAGATCCTAGCAAACTTCACTGTGGCTCCCAAACACTTTAAAAACTTTTTATACTTACTTCATGCCCTATATACATTGCATTCATTTTGTTGTTTTCAGAACTGCAACATACTCCTACAGCAAAGATGTCCCCAGATCAGGAACATGACTTTACACCTGCACTAGCATTTGGGACAGTAACACTCACCTGAAATGAATCAAGCAGTAATGGTAAAAGCTGAGTTACTAGTATGAACCACTTTGCAGCACAGATCATAGCCAGGGAGCATCTTTCTCGCAAACCTAACAAGCAGAGCTGTGCTGCAGGAAGCTCAGC